CTGAATGCAACCATATGACCTGTTTTTTGGGAATACTCACTTGTGCTTTATAGTAATTTTTACATTAATTTTTTAAATCCCCGGTTTTCATCATTCCCCTTAGTTAATTTTAAATTTAATTTTAAACCCACCCCGTAATGCTTTGCATAGTATAAGTGGCTTTGGCTGTTTGCTCTTATCTTATTTTTTTTGTACCTTGTATGTGTGCCCCAAAAATTTGGGAAATAAATAAATAAATAAAAAAAATTGTGAGGGGGAAAGAGAGGAGAGAATGGGTGGATAGGTGGGGAATAGGGGTAAGGGGGGTTGAGGGGTTTATGAAAAGGGGGTAGAGGGAGATGGGGAAAAGAGGGTGGGTGAGGGGGGTGGGCGGGGGTGTGTGTGTGTGTGTGTGAGTGTACTTTTAGGTTTTTGGGGAGGCAAGCCTCCCCTCCTGGTTCCTACACTTCCCCACCTATTTCCCAACCCAATCCCCCCATCCCCTATGCTCCCCCCCAAATTCCCAAAACAATACCCTCACTGTGCCCTACACTAAACCCCCCCATTTAAACCAAAAATCCCCCAATTGTCTCCTAAAATTTCACCCACCTCCCTTCCCAACAATCCCCCCCCTGTCCCCTTTCCCTCACCTCCCTATTTCCCAAACAATACCCCCACCTGTCTCCTACATCCCCCCACCTATTTCCCAAAAATTTTTCCCCACCTTTTCCCCTTTCACTCACCCACCTACTTATCAAAAAAACCCCCCGTCTTTTCCCCTACATTCACCATACTTCCAAACCCAATCCCCCCGGGCCCTTTTCTCTACACCCCACCCCCCTATTCCCCAAAAATTCCCCCCCACCTGTCCTCCCCCCCCCCAAAAACCAAAAAACCAAATTTAAAAAAATGTCAGACCCTAACAATCTCTATTAAAAAAAGAGTTTTTTTAATACATGCAAGGGGGGAGGAAAGGGGAATCAGTGAGGGAAAAGGCCCGGGGGGGGGGTGACAGGTCCCAAAACGGTATCGGGAAATTTAGATTTTTTTTTTCCCAATTTTGCCCAAAAACTTAAAAAACATTTTTTTGGGCCCCTTTCTTTTTCAGAAAAAAAAAATCTGTTAGTTTTTTTTTACTTTTACTAGGAACTGTCCCTTACCAGGTCGGGAAATTGACTGGGCAAACACCAAAGGGGGTTTCCAAGGTCATCAATGGAAATTTGCCCTCCTTCTAGCCCGGACCCCACAACCCCAAAAATTTGAAAAAAAAAGTCTGAGTTTTTCCTCTATTTTTCCCTTTTCCGGGAAAATATTTAAAAATCATTTTAAAAATTTAGTTTGGGCTTATATTGGGCATTTGTTTTTTTTTTAAAAATTAATTTTAAAAAGAAAAATGAAAATAAATATTGAAAAAATATTATCTTTTTCAAAAGTCGGCCATCCCCCACCTAGGCAGGGTGCCCAAAAGAAAAAAAATCACCAAAAGGGAAAATATTTTCCCATCATCATTCAACACTTTCCCCTCAAATACAAAATTTCCCTGTTTTTTTTTTAATTTTTGAGGGGGCCCAGATAAACAGTTTTGAAGCAATTTTAAAAAAGATATAATATAAAAAGTGACCTGAAAAAATTTACATTATAAAGGCCCCCCAATTATTATTTTTGCCCTATTAAAATTCCCAAAAAACGCCAATTTCCTTTTACCCCCCCTTTAAAAGTGCAGGCAGGGTTTTACTTCCATTTCAAAACCAAATTTCGGTATAAAAAAAAACTGGTTTCTTGAACCCCTTTCCAAAAATTTCCCCTGCTCAACCCCAAACGCTTGCCCGGTTTCCCAAAAAACCCAATTCCCCACCTATTTTAATAAGCTCATCCCACGCTTGCGGGAAGAAAAAGGGCCCCTTGCCCACAAACCCCTCCTTTACCCTTCCCCAAACCCTTTTCGGGGGGACGACCTACCCCCCCTTTTTTTCCCCCTACGGATTTACATGCTCCCCATGTCTTTTCTTTGACCCATTCTCTCAAAATGCCCAAAACCCCCTAAACCCAACCCCTTTTCAGCCCCCCTGAAAATTATTTTATTAACTCACCCCTTTCTGTAATTTCCAAAACCCCGGGAATTTTTGCATAATATTTCCCCAAAACACATGCCCTTGGGATAGGACATCCCACTGCCCCCAATCCCTCCTCAAAAAAAGAGTGGGGTTTCCCAATATACTCTATCATCACCCCCTTTTTGCCTCACTGAAAACTTTTTTTGTATGTCCCAACTCTGGATCACTATGACAAGGTAATAGATGACTAGAAATAAAAAAATAAAGATGTAATATCATGATTTTTGCAAAACCCTTTCGAAAGTTTTGACCAGGGCAATAGCGCACAAAATGCTGCAAAAGGAATAAAGGCAAATTGGTAGATGGGGTCTTTTTTTTTCCCTCACAACAGAACACAAAGATTTGGGAAGAAACCCAGGTAAAGTCTGGGGTTTGGGCCTTTTTGAAAGCTCTTTTCCCGCAAGGCCCCCGTCCCGCCCCCCAATCTTGTTTCTCATCCTATATCTGACATAGAAAGGGGATGCAGCCACAGCCCCGTGTCTTCTTGCAATGAAAACCGGGAAACTGCATTTTACAGTGTTTTTCCATTGCAGACACTGCAAGGCTCCAGGTGGCATTTAACCAAAACTTTCAAGGGCTGCAGGGAAAAAAATTTGAAATTCAACGTTTTAGAAAATTTTAATTGCCCCAAAATTTTGGGAAAAAATGAGGAAATTTAAACTTTATCAGAGTATAAAAAAAAATTCCAGCCCCCAAAATAGAGTTTTTTAAAAAAATAAAGTCAAAGGGCCTGGGAGTGATCTTTCGGAGGGGTCTCACTTCAAGGGGCCCTAACTTTTTATCAAAACGCATCTGCAGATGGGTATTTGGAACCTTCAAACTAGGGATGCCAAGCCCAGATGACATCTTCAGGTTTGCTTGTTTTTATTAGACGGAATTTTTGCTACACACTAACAGTACCTTTCAAGGCAGGTGAGATTGCTGACCTAGAAAATGTACAGAGAACCTTCACGGTACGCATAACGGAGATAAAACACCTCAGTTACTGGGAGCGCTTGAAGTTCCTGAACCTGTACTTCCTGGAACGCAGGAGGGAGAGATACATGATTATATACACTTGGAAAATCCTAGAGGGACTACTACCAAACTTGCACACGAAAATCACTGTGAAAACAAAAGACTCGGCAGACGATGCAACATCCCCCCAATGAAAAGCAGGGGTGTCACTAGCACGTTATGAGACAACACAATAAGTGTCAGGGACCCAAGACTGTTCAACTGCCTCCCAGCATACATAAGGGGGATTACCAATAGACCCCTGGCTGTCTTGAAGCAGGCACTGGACAAGCACCTAAAGTCGGTACCTGACCAGCCGGGCTGTGGTTCATACGCTGGATTGCCTGCAGCCAGCAGTAACAGCCTGGTTGATCAGGCTGATCCACCATGAGGCCTGGTCACAGACTGGGCCATGGGGGCATTGACCCCCGGAACTCTCTCCAGGTAATCCAGGTGATATACCTCAATGCACCACTCATCTTTTTTCCCTCATCAATTCTATGGTTAACCTCATCCTTCATAAACCCATCCTCTGACACATCAACTCCCAAATATCTGAAAATATTCACTTCTTCCATACTCCTTCTCTCCAATGTGGTATCCAATTTTTCTTTATCTAATTCATTTGATACCCTCATCACCTTACTCTTATCTATGTTCACTTTCAACTTTCTACCTTTACACCTGGTTGTACACATTTACATACCATTAGTTTCTCTTACTTTAACAAGATTATGGGATATTTATGATGAAGACATAATGATTATTCTGAATAAAGGAAAAAAGAGGATGAAAAAAATAAAATCAGATTATCACCCATCCTTTCACACTGTTTTCTACACTCAGCAACATGAAGAACCAGCACCAGCTGAACCACCATACTCCTATAAATCATTCAAAATAAGTATGTCATCTACTCAAAGAATAGGTACAAGTGGTCAATATTAAATATTCTTTATTTCAAAATGGGTACAATGTTTGTACAGAGATGGGTGACATTTAGGCATCATGCAGAAAGCATGCACACCTAAATGTCACCCATTTTGGGAAAATTTAAGCCTGACCTAAAACTAGCATGGCAATAACTAATTGACTGCTTATATATATATGGTATTTAAGTGGATGTAACAACAAATTTAGGAATTAAAAAACACAAGAGAACTGAATAGTATTATGCATACTATACAACATTTATTGATGTTAATTGTTTCAAGAATTACAGTTCGGCTTATGATTACAGGTAATGAGGATTCTAGCATACTGACATATTTTGAACATATTCAGTGTATTTAATGGTTGTGTGGATTTCAGATAATGAGAATAAGAATACACAAATTCATTCATTTAATAGTGCTTTCACTGTCACTGTTGATACCATGGTCACAGTCAATTACCGATTTCTCAAACATTTCCAAACCAGGGCTTTAATAGAACCAGCCACATCACCTCCCTGACTTAATCTACTCTCAACCTTGCTTTCAAAATTTTATCTTTGTCAATTGCTTGACCCATGTATTTAAATACACCAACAGCTGCCTTCACTTCATCTGGTTTGATTCCACAAATTTATTTTCAAATTTTTTCTTGCATACATTAACAAAACTTCAGACTAATCTATATACAGTATTGTACTAGCATCTCTTTATTTTTACTGTTTAACTATCAATCTGTTTATAGATTTGGGTGAATTTGGTCAGGTTTTTTATGCAGTAATAGAATTAAGTACTCTTGGAAAGAGATTAAACAAGTTAATAAGAAAATGAGCCAATAAGACCAAGCTAATGCTCGCACTTCCTTATATATTATCTGTTGTCCCCAGTCTATGAGATAAGATCTTCCACTAAACTACTGGTGAATACACACCACAACAATATCAAAAGGCAACAGAATTTTATCCAATCATAATGAAGTACAAGAGAATGAACAAGTAGTGTATTTTACCTTCCTGCTAAGCATTTGCAGCATGAATATTACAGTAATGGAGCACTTTTTATTATCACAGCAGAGTATTAATACTTCAAACAAACTTACCAAACTCCATTCCTGTGCTTGTTTACCAGTCCTATTGAAAAGAGTGTGAACTTCTTCTTCAATTTCAGTTGACACCAGTAGAGCTGAAAACAATATTAAAATGTGATTTAATATATAGCAAAAGGATATCAAAGATTTTTTTTAACACGCTGGCCGTCTTCTACCAAGGCAGGGTGACCTGAAAAAGAAGCACTTTCACCATCATTCACACTATCACTGTCTTGTCAGAGGTATGCAGATATGACAGACATCCCTCTCCACAGCAAATATCCCAAACCTCTGCTTTAAAGTGTAGGCATTGTACTTCCCACCTCTAGGGCTCAAGTCCAGCTAACTGGGTTTCCTGAATCCCTTCACAAAATATTACCCTGCTCACACTGCAAGAGCTCATCAAGTCTCAAAAATCATTCATTTCCACTCCTATCTAACACACTCTCACATGCCTGTTGGATGTCCAAACCCCTTGCACACAAAACCTTCTTTACCCCCTCCCCATCCTTTCCTAGAATGTCCCCTACCCCACCTTCCCTCCATCACAGATTTGTACATGTATACTTTCTAAGTCATCCTATTTTGCTCCAACCTCTCTAAATGACCAAACCACCTCAACAACCCCTACTCTGCCCTCTGGATAATACTTTGAGTAACTCTGCACCTCCTACTAATCTCCAAACTATGAATTCTCTGCATAACATTTATGCCACACATTGCCCTCAGGCATGACATCTTCACTGCCTCCAGCCTCCTTCTCATTGCAACATTCACAACCCATGCTTGACACCCATATATGAGCATTCCATAAACTTCTTGAAATACTGCCGAAATTTAAAGACTGTAGTGAAATATTAAAAAACTGACCTTTTATACAGTGTGTTTGTATATATGTGAAATCATCTCAACAAACCAGCCAATCAATATTGTTGTCCAATCCATTGTGCAAGAAGTCTCAACTACAAAACACAATGACAGCATCCTACCAAGAGCACCTCTGGCTATAAATACATTCCTCACAGATAAACTAAATGACCTGAAGAGGATGGAAGAACGGATAAGTGACTTGGATCTCCAGAGTGTTTGAATTTTCTCACAAGGTGTCTAACTTTGCCCAGGGCAACCATTTCTTGATGTGTACACCTCCTATGACTGCCAAAAATTGAGTGAATGTGATGAGTGTATGAAATCAATTTTCAGGAAAAAAGTAAGTCTATCACTGGAGGATCACCAGTTGAATGAAGCAATGTTTCCAGTTAGACTGAAGGAAATTAGATGTCCACAAGGCAATGCAACATTTAGGGAGGCTGTCTTCTGTGCCACCCACAGCAGCAGCACTAGCTTCTACATATATATCTTCATGTATAGCATCAAGAAAACTCGTAAAGAAGATAATCCCAGAATACTTGAAAGATTCTGTAGGAATACACAACCCACATTTATTTGAAGCACTAGGGCAGTAGAATATTCTTACAGACTCTTCAAGTAGACTAATTCCTCCTAATGATAATAAACAGTCTCATTGGGACAGCCCTACTGTAGGGAAAACTGCAAAACCATTGCTAGTCTCCTTGTGGTGAGGGTACAACATGCCGAGGATTTCATCTCGGCTGTCCCTAATTCCTCCTTGGGAACTCGCCTCAATCCTCATGCCATTTATATTGGTGTAGCTCACTCCCTAGTCAGCCCCATTTGCACAAACACAGGTGTATCTATAGCAGTGTGTCAGGAGATCAACTTGGGCTCCATGATCTCAACTAACATAAGTATGAAGGATAGAATTCAAGACAGGAGGAGGTCAACAATACTATAAAGCAAAGCTAGCCATAGCCAACTGCCAATCAGAATGAGAGCCATGGCTAACGATGCCTGATGGCAGCCAGAAGCACTCTGAAGAAGTCATCACGTTACCCTGGAAAGATGGTAAGCTGATAGCACTGGACTACACTTGTGCTTCTACAATAGCTGACACCTACTTTGATTAGAACGGCAGTAGTAGTTGTGATATTAACAGAGCACTCTTGACTGTGAAGGTCACTCAGCACAGAGGCTGAAGGAAGGTGGTGCCTCCAGTTTCAGGCAAGACCCAGAAGATCAACAAATACAAAGACCTAACAGGATATTACAACTTTGTTTCAACAGGAAGTAAATTCACCATCATTCATTCAACTGCTGTCTTGATATAAATATGCTGACATCACAATCAGATTACCCTTCAAGTGCAAAATTCCCCTGGTTCTTCAGAGTGCAGGCACTGTCCTTGTCACCTCCTGGACTGTAGCTCTGCTGATGAGTTAGTTTAATATGTTTATTATGCACTCCACACCCATCCTGTGGGCGGTAGTCAAAAGATTACAGAGGTACATAATTGGTCCAGGGACTGGACTCCAAAGTTTTGATAGCTGAGCAAGTTACAAAGGTAATGAACTAGATCTGGTTACAATCGTGACCAAGTACAAAGGTAATGAGCTCCAGGTAGAACTGGTCACACTTATGACCAATTACGAAAGTAATGAACTAGATATGATTACAATGAGAATTGACAAAAGGTAATGAGCTCCAGGTAGAGCTAGTTACAATCATGACAAGTTTCAAAGGTAATGAATCGTGAACACATGATTACAATCATGAACAATTTTCAAAGTAATGATCAGTTAAACAAACACTGTAGGGAATTCATTCATTGCCAACAGACGTTGCTAGGTGCCTGTCCCTCCTTGGCAGGACAGCCATTGCAAACAGCAAGTTGCCCCAGGATCTGTTGTTTGCAGAAGCACCATTGACCCTCCCCAAGAGGTCGAAGAGGCCAGCGGCTCCGCTAGCAGCCCAAGGGAGAGCCGCCCTGGGGACGTGTCAACGTCCTGGTGGCTGCCAAGTTGATTGAAGATCCCAGGCCCTCTGTAAAGGTGAAGGCACAGCAGCTGTCACCTATGTCTGCTGGGAGAGGCTGTTGGTTGTTGCCACCTGGGGCCCTCCGGGTGCCCAGACACCCACCATGTGCACGGATGTTGAAGCTTGAGGAACTGAGTGCACACTGCCTGTGGCACACCTGACAGCTGTCTTGCGGTCGAACTCCACGGCACTGTCCCTGCAGTGCCATTGCTGACGTGGGCTGGGAGGGAAAACGTACCCTCTACAGTTGTGGTGGCGCTGGGAGTTGGGTGGGTGAGGCGGGGGAGTTGAATGGTTGAGGCGCGAGGGTGAGCGGTTATGAGAGAGTCATTGTTTACTACACACGGGGCAAGGCCCGGGGGGTGGGTGGGCGAGGGGCACTTCCCTGCACACTGATTGTGCACTGTTGATCACACTGTCCTGCCTACAACAAACACAACATGCATTCGTTTCCCATGCACATCATGAAAGATATGGGCATGTGACTCGCCAAAACCAACAATGGTCGCTTCATCCCCACCCACACACTCGGCCCCCTCCCCCCGGCAGTGTGAGGGGAGGAACTGTCTGGTCCCAACCTGGGCACTCTCACCACACCCAACTCTCACAAACTGCACAATACTTCCATTTTTTACGCTGAAACGATGTACTGGGAAGTCCTCTCACTGCTCTGGAATCTTCTCAAGGCATTCACACAGAGTCCTGCTCAGTTGTGCCCTAGTCAGCCCCTTGGATCAGGAACTATCCTTGAAAATCCCACAGCTAGCCCACCACATGTTCAGCCGTGTCGGCCATGTTGGCAGCGTTGCTGTCTGCTGATGATGAAAGTGCTTTTTCTTCTTTGGTCATCCTGCTTTGGTGGGAAACAGTTGTTGAAGTAAAAAAAATAATCAATACAATAGACCCTCGATAATCGTAAGGCTCGAAAGTCATAATTTTTAGAAATCGTAATGTTTTTTTTCGTCAAAACATTGACTCGCGAATCATCATTTGACTCGCAAATAGTTGTTCATCCCGGACGCGTACTCATGGCCCCGAGCTGCCTCGCATTCCCTTCCCAGCCAGTGTGGCATTGTTTACCAGTGAGTGACAGTCCCCTCACTTGTTCATATGAAATATTTCATAATATTCCATTCATTTTAGTGCTTGCAACTGCTAAATAAGCTACCATGGCTCCAAACAAAGCTCCTAGTGCCATGCCTTTGGTAAAGAAGGTGAGAAATACGATTGAATTCAAGAAAAACATCATTGAACAATATGAAAGTGGCGTACGTGTGGCCAAACTGGCCAGGATGTATAAGAAACCCCATACCTTACCTTTGATATACCTTTGAAGAGTTTCAAGAGTTTATCTACTCTCTGAGTCTGGCCATGGGCAAGGCTCGTCTAGTGCTTGCCTGGTCAACCAGGCTGTTGCTGCTGGAGGCCCGCTGCCCCACATATCCATCATAGCCTGGTTAATCTGGCACCTTCGTAGCCAAGAAAAAGGAAATCAAGGAAGCTGTTGTTGCAAAGGGGGTAAATATGCTGATAAAAATGAGATCGCCAGTACTCGAAGATGTCGAGAAGTTATTGTTGGTGTGGATCAACGAGAAACAATTAGCAGGAGATAGTCTTATGCAGTTGCTTATTTGTGAAAAGGCTAGGCAGTTGCATGACAATCCCATAAAGAAATTGCCTGCAACGAGTACTGACATTTGTGAATTTAACGCCAGCAAAGGCTGGTTTGAGAGATTTAAGAACCGTAGTGGCATACACAGTGTGCTAAGGCATGGCAAGACTGCCAGTTCGGACAAAATTGCAGCTACAAAATTTGTAAGTGAATTCAAGGAGTACATACAGACTGAACAATTAAAACCACAACAAGTGTTCAATTGCGATGACACAGGCCTCTTTTGGAAGAAAATGCCAAAGAGGACCTACATTACTCAGGAGGAAAAGGGACTTCCAGGACACAAGCCTATAAAAGACAGGCTGATGCTCATGTTTTGTAGTAATGCTAGTGGGGATTTCAAAGTAAAGCCGTTACTAGTGTACCATTCTGAAAATCCCAGAGCGTTCAAGAAAAACAATGTTATGAAGAGTAAATTGTGTGTGTGTTGGAAAGCTAATAATAAGGCATAGGTCACGAGGGAAATTTTCGTCGAGTGGTTCAATGAAGTGTTTGGCTCCAGTGTGAAGAATTACCTCCTGGAAAAGA